GTGCCCCCCCCCCCCCCCCCCCCCCCGGACAGCCAGTTCTCAGCTTTCCCTGCTTGCTTGCCTACCTTGATGAGGGACAGCAAAGCATTTTGTCTCTGCATGCTCTGGTTGCCCTCACTCAGGACACCACAGCACTCTGCAACATGGAGCCGGAACTGCCCCTGGGCACTCTGGTGCTTCTTGTGGACACGTTGCTGCAAGCCTGGCTGCACTTTCTGCAGATTGCTATCTGGGAGGTCCAGCGGGGGGCTGTCAGTATCCAGGAGGCCCTGCGGGAGAGCTTCCACCCTGAGGAGCAGTGAGAGCCTCCCTGGTCTGCCCCACTGGGGGCTTGTGCCTCATTCCTCCCTTACGTCCTTCGACTTACCCCTCCCTAGCCCCCCTTCCTGATGTCAAATAAAATACATGTATTTTCATGAAAGCAAACTCTCTTTACTTAACAAAACGGGGGAGGGGGAATGAAACTCTGGTGAGACTGGGGAAAGGAGGTGGGAGAGGGGAGAAGAGAGGGTGGGAGAGGGGAGGGAGAAACCTGGGAGGAGAGAGCTGGAAGGGAGAAGCAAGGGGAAGAAGGGGGAGGGGAAGCTCAGGTCTCAGGGTTACGGGGTCTCACCGGACCAACTTGATTTTCATGCAAACTTGCTCCTAGGATCGCATGTGGCCTTTGGTGGCCAGGCTGGCAGCTATCCTGCCATAGACGGCCACGTTCCCCTGTCTAGTGCAGAGATCATGGACGTTGGGGGCATCCCCTCCAAACCTGAATAAGGTCTATGATCTCCACCCTGGACCAGGAAGGTGCCCACCTTCTCCGGGCCCTGGCAGGCTCCTGGGAGCTGGCAGACTGCTCCTGGGGAGTGGTAGAGGGCTGGCTGCTAGTGGCTTGCTGGCTTATGTTTTGGGGCCACTGGGTCAGGGGCAGTGACTGTTGGAGTTGCTGAGCCTTGCCATTTCCATTAAACAATGTGCAAGGGGACAATCTAGCTCAGGTTGCTCCTGAATTAAAGTCATTACCATTGGATAGTACTTCAGTGATCTAAATGAAATAAGGCAGTGGTCTTGAGTCCACACCACCAGAAATCACCAGTACAAATGAAACTAGTTATTAGACACAGCAGAGAAGACAAGGATTGAATGGGCATGGGGACTAATCTACCCCTTCACTTCTGTTTGTTGTCCCTCAGGGCTCATCTAAACTACGGGGAAGATTCAAAAGAGGATCTTCTTCTGATCTCACTTTCAAAAGCAGAACTTTGAAACCAAAAAAATGAGGTTTATGCGGCTTTTTGAAAAAGGGGAGGGTTGCTGAAAAAACCCTGCATCTTGATTACTTTCACTTTCAAAAGCTCTGCTTTCAAAAGTGAGATTGGAAGAAGATATTCAAATTCCTGCAGAATTTACATATCCTCTTTCAAATCTTCCCCGTAGTCTAGATGAGCCCTTAAGGTCAGGACTAAGACATCTTAGAGACCAGTCTGGGGGAGCTTGTGCTGCCACAGCCCTTGCTTTATTTGTGGATGAAAGATCTCAGTCCACCTCACTAGACAACCCATGCCAGTGCTTCTAGTGAAGCAGTGTTTCCTAATAGCCATCCTCGGCCTCCCACCCTCTTTGGAACCCATCTCCAGGTAGCTGAAGGCAGCTATCAAACCCTGGTCACTCTTCTCTTCTGTAAACTGAATAAGCCCAAATCCCTCAGCCTCTCCTCATAAGTTATATGCCCAAGCCCCTTAATAATTTTTGTTGACCTCTGATGTATCTTTTCCATTTGTAGTTAGAGGCCTAAATCTGGACACAATATTCCAGATGTGACCTCACTAGTGCCAAATAGAGGGGGATTAATCACTTCCCTTGGTTTGCTAGCAATTCTTCTACTAATGTGCCCAATATGCCATTAGCCTTCTTTGCAACAAGGGCACATTGCCTCAAATCAAGCTTCTTGCTGGATGTGAGGCAATGAGGATGGACCCCAGCAGAACTGTAATCCATAGGTCCAGAACTGCTGGACCCCAGCAGAATTGCTGCTTAGCCAGTCGGTCTGCAGCCTGTAACAGTGCTTGGGATTCTTCCATCCCAAGTGCAGGACTCTTCACTTGTCTTTCGTGAACCTCATCAGATTTCTTTTGGACCAATCCTCCAATCTGTCTAGGCCACTCTGGACCCTATTCCTACTCTCCAGAGTATCTACCTCTCCCCCGAGCTTAGTGTCATCTGCAAACTTTTTGAGGGTGCAATCCAGCTCCTCTTCTAGCTCATAAATGAAGATGTTGAACAAAACCGGCCCCAGGACTAATGCCTGGGGTACTTCATTTAATACTGTCTGCAAAGTAGATTAATCGCACTGGCAAATATCCCTTTAAAGCTTCCCTTTGTCACTTACTCTTGAAAAAGTTTTCTATACAGGATATAATTTTCCCCTGTATGCTCATCATTATGTCCATTCTCATCTCCAGATGTTACTGATACATGCCCATCCATTCATGCTGAAGCCTAGTAGCGAATCACTCAATGAGCAGTTTAACAAAAGGAAATAAACTCTAGGGCAAATAGAAGTTGCAATTTAAACTAATCCTAAATCAGGAGATACTTGCTCTGAAACAGTCCAAAATCCCAATTGAAAAGGACTTAGCACTGGGATCTGGAAGCCAAGTGTTTTCATTTTTGCTTCTCTGCTAGTTCTTTATGGATGAATTGACCTTTCATTGCTGAAACATCACTGAGGCTATATCTACACTACAAGATTTTTGTGCAAAAACAGCTGTTTTTGTGCAAAAAACGGCAGAGCTGTAACCCACACACCTAGTGTGGTTCACTGACCCATGCAGTGGCACCTAGACCACAGCAACAGATAAGATCAAGAAACCTCTACCATAGGGGCTGGGTGCTAGCTGGCTTTTAGCTCAGAGGGTAGAGGCTCTTATACTCAGCTCCTAGAGGTCCCAGGTTCAAATCCACCCAGTGGCAGTTACAGTGTGTCCACACCTCAGGTGTGTTTCTGCACAAGTAAATTGGTAAAAAAGAGGGCTTTTGCTGGTAGAGTTATTCCTCTCCCCACGAGGAATAACTTCTTTTTGCACTACAGCTCTTGTGCAAAAAGGCATGTGTGGACACTCCACAGGGGTTTCTTGTGCAAAAAGAGCCTATCAGAAAAAGCACAGGTGCTCTGATGGCCATTCTGTTAATGGCAAACAGAGCTTTCTTGTGCAAGAGCATCCACAATGCATGGATGCACTTTTGAGGTGTGGACATGCTTTTACACAAGAAGTTTTTGCAGAAGATCTCTTCCGCAAAAAGCTTCTTGCGCAAAAACCCTGCAGTGTAGACAAAGCCTGAGAGATAAAAATGAAAATAACCCTGATAATGCAGGAATGGAGAACTGTAACATGAAAATCAAAATAGGGCCACTTCTGTTTAAACCTACCCTTTCATTTTGCATTTTCCTGATGTGCCAACCTGGGAACAATAACAGGGGAATATAAGAAAAAACACAAGTATTATACATCCTCTGGCTGAAA